TTTTTGGCTCAAAAAACGGACAAAAAGGGTGTGAAAGAACATGAACGAATGCGTCACAAGTGCATCACAGGCAAATATACATGGTCGACCCATCACATGAACGCTTGATGACAAGGTTCGTTCAAGCTTTCTGGCCTTCGTTTAAGCGCTTTTTGCGTTGGAGCATACGTACATGCTGTATCTACTAGAGTATAGCAGGCTACTGGCGAGGATAAGATCAATTAATGTAGAGGTAAAGTCGTCTGCAAGTATTACATACACCTACATTTACTGTACATATTATTTGAGTGCCATGCATTTAGGTGTCAATCACGAGCTGATGTCCTGTAGCCTTCCTCATTCCCAGTAAAAAAAAGGAGAGAGAGAGAGAGAGCGATTCTGCCAGTTAGAGCCTGCTGTAGCTTTCGTCCCAGTCCCTCTCCCCCACGTGCTTTGATGAATCCCTCCGCAGGCTCAGCCATGGTAAACATACCATGCCCATGGAGCCCACCAATTTCAAGCAACTCCTGAACCGAGGCATCGTTTCCATTCTCCGGCGCAGCAAAATGCATTTCCAAAGCGACGAGCCTCTTGTTCTGATCCACCAGCTCCCGTTCTTCCACTACCAAGGCCACATCAACTTTGGAGGCTTTGTATTTGATCACTCTCTAACATAGCTCGCATAGCATGAGCTAATGCCGGGGCCATCCTTCCGGGCCCGATATCGGCTGCATCCTATTGGCGAAGCTGCCTATGCAACCCAGTCGAGGCCCTAGCCACCCTGGCATACAGCGCCTCAACAAGTCTGGTCCTATGCAGTTTATCATGCAAGCTGCACTCGTCGCCAAGCTCCGAAAACAGCCTCCAACCACACTCGGCTCCTCAAGTTCTTGCAACGCAAAGTAATCCTCCGAGCCTGTCTCCTACACCTGATGGCGTCCCATTGGGCGTGGGAAATTTGTGGTTGTCTCGGCTTGTCAGCAAGGTCCCCCTCCCAGGCATCAAAACGCGCGTTGGCATCAAAGAACAGCAGGGGCACAGCGTTACGGGGAAGCTTCCGCACGGCCTCATGCAACTCGTCCCACCAACTAGCAACGTTGTCTACACTCGCTTGTGATGTCGGAGCATGTCCAACAACGCATGTAGATTTCTGTCCACCTCCCTCTATGACAATCACCAACAGCCTCGGTCTGGACACAAGCACCACGGCGCTATTGACATCAAAACATGCCTGGACACCCGTGTGCAACGTAGCAACAGCCACAGTACTCTTGACCCACGACTGGCATCCGAGCCTCCCATCTACGCATGGGCTGCAGAAGCATTCATAACGTAAGGTGCGCGTCCTGTCCGCAACATGGCACCTTGACTTTTGCAGACCAACAAGCTGCGCGCCCGCCTTGGAAAACTTGCTGTCCAAAAACTGCTTGGTAGACTCATGCTTGAGGGACTTAGCACTATACGTGACCAACGGAGATTGCAATCAGCCCAGCCTGCATCACAATCCGCATCAACAGAATCTAAAGACACTCGGGGGATTGACCTTTGACCACTCCAAGTAGGCTTGAACTTCTCAGCCCCCAAGTTCATTGTGCCATCATCGGCAAGCGGCGGCAGCATCCCATGTCTGGTAACCGTCAACCACCACCAGTCCACTTCTCCCCGTCGCTCCGCAGCGGCCAGAACTCCCTCAAAACTCAAAACTGAACGCTTGAACTTTGCCTGCCACTGGCAGTAGCTTTAGCAATTGAATCAGCTAACTCATTCATCGCATCCTTCTGATGAGATCGCACATGTGGATAGGCAAGTTGCACACCCTTGCCCTCAGCCACCATGGAGAAACTAGTGGCCAGCCTCGCAAGCTGCTGATGTCTAACGCTGCTGGCCAGTCCTTGAGCATTTTGTGCAGCCGCCGTAGCCTCATAGACGATTTCAACATCACTAGTCCAGCGTGCAGGCTGCCCCCAGGGCATACGACATTGCATTCAATTCTGCGGTATGTGCATTGCACTGCCCATCACCGAGGCAAGCCACATGGTCACGCGGATGGACCCTGCCGGAAATGAAGCCAACCCAGAACCATTGTGCGCCAACTCTGCCAACACCAACCGCAGCCCATGCTGTCTGATTTTCACCGAAATGGGAACCATCAACATAGATGCGAAGCTGCTCCACCTCCCTGGACCTGTCCCATGTTGGCAGCATCTGCGGCGCTACTCTCGCCGGCTTATGTACCGTCCCCACCTGCAAATCATGGAAATCCTCGGCCCTCTTCCTGTGGAGCAGGCGCACCGGCAGCTAAGCTCTCGGCAGACGAGCTTCAAGGCTACGCCCCTCCGATCAGCAAGTGCCAACTGATCCTGAACCACCTCACGTGGACTACCGGAAACTACTGGGGTGATCCAATGGTCCCCTGCTCCGTTGCAATTGCTCTCTACCGTAATAACTTGACCGGGCTAGCTTCGCTGCGCCCCAAAAAGGGCCCCTCGCTGACAGCATAAGGCATCGGTTGCTTCAGCTGATGTTGACAGTGCACGGGGCGCACTGCCTCATGCCCCGGCCCTCATGAAGGCAAGGGAGGCCTGTCCCAAAATCGGCAGCGCTGTATGGTTTCCAAGCGGCACTTTCATGTGCCTCAGGGCAATCCTCACAAAAGCGACACGCAGTTCGGCCCTTTCTTGAGGATCCCAACCAAAGCTTCAAATCTCCGCATGTAAAGACGACTGCAAAGTAGTGACTGCGGATTGCCTGAGCGCTCATGCACGATCAACCTGCTCTACTCTGGGCTGGTCACATGCAACTGCCTGGAGAGCATTTTTGGCAGCTGCAAATTCCACTGATTTATTCCTTCTCGGAGTAGCCCTATCTGGAAGTATTCTGGAATCACTCCATCTATTGCGGGGAGGAAATGGACCGTTCTGCAGAAGAAATTCAAGACGTAGGCCTCAAAGGCGGCTTCAAAGGGAGACACAAAGTCCAGCTCTCCACACACCAAGTGCGATCAGACCATCCAACAGTCAAAACAAATTGTTTCCTTGGGTGGACCGCGCCTGAGGTTTCCCGTGAGGCTCCCCTGCACGCTATACCTGGGCCCAACTTGTCGTCCTCTGGCGAGGACGGCACCTCGAAGACCTTTCCTCGCCGCCTTGGTGTTCTGGATCCTTCTCTGTCTACTTTCGCCGCCAGCTCCTGCGCGTTCTGCTACGCTGTATGCATTGCCTCCAGCAACGCCTGCTGTTAGGCAAAGTGCTGTTGCATAGCCTACTGCCGCTACAAAGCCTTCGGCCTCCATTGTCTCTCCTGCCTCCATTCGCTCCGACTGATCTTGTCTGGTTGGCTTTCCGTAGCCTGGCCAGCTTTCCAGTGGCTTCGACAGCTGCTGTTCCCAAGATTTTTCTGCAGCATGAAAAGCCTGCAGGGCCCCACAGCTGCGCAGTTGGCGTTCTGTCAGGGTCTCCATATACTGCGCCCGCGCCTTGGCCAGCTCCGCCCTTGCCTTGCTTTGCGCACTCACCGTCAAAAGGAGCGTGTGCGCTTTGAGTAGCTCCTTGATATCGGGAGGGAGTTAGGAAATGTTTTCTGCAGCGCCAAAAATGGACTTTCCAACTGCTTTTCTGCCGCACCTTGAGTCGACGCCCCGACTGCGCCGCTTCGCAGCGATGGTGCACCACTCCTTGGGCGGCCACAGCAGTGATCGCATTTCTGGCGCTTGGAGTTGTTGCCCCTTGTCCGCGCCCTTGCCCTTGCCTTTTGATGTCCTTGTTCATATCCATCCTGCCTGGGTGACGTCGCTCTCTGCCTTGGAGATGTTGCCCTCCAGGGTGCTGCTGCTTGCTCGGCTAAAGCCCAACCACACTGTCCGCAGTGGCTCGACTTGTAGGAATTCTTGCGCTTGCAATATCCGCAGTACCAACCAGAAGTTCCCGTGGCCGCCATAAGCCGCCATGCCGCTGCTTGTAAGCTCTAGTATGTTCAGCGCCTTTAGTGGTAGCACCGACTGCGTGTGATGATCCTGCAACTTGGAAGCAGCTTTTCGTACTGTACGTCCCTCACTGGAAATCAGGGCAAATAGACCCTCAAAGCAGTTCGCGAACGCGAAGGTGATCTGGGGGTGCGTCAGTGCCAGCTGGGCTCTTGCACTTGCCGTTGCATGTTGTTCTGAAACAATCTGCTGCCCTGCACGCGGCAACAGCTTCAGCCAGCAGCCATCGAGAATATAAAGAGTCACACGAAGTAGACCCCACTGAATGGCATGCACTAGTGACAGACACTTCTCTGCCCGCAGCTAATGTAGCCTCTGTCAGCCAATCGGACAGCAGTGAAAGAGGATAGGCCGCTGCCAAACGGGAATGTGTTCCACGTATTGATCAGCAAATTGAAATTCCATGAGCAGCCGTGTTTGATCGTCGTGGTCTAGCAGATTGTGACCGCTTCTGACGCACTGGGGTCTAGGGTACAAGCTACACGTGAGCCCAGACACCTGTGACTTGCAGTTAGAAACCGCAAGGAAAGCAAATGCACCAACATCGCAGATGCGATTTCTTAACGACAGCGGCAGCTGCATTGCGCATGCGAAGTTTTGCTGCCCAGTTAACTACGTGCAGTAACTGAAAAATATCTACATGAACCAAATGGGGTTGGCGGTGGCCGTGCAGAACAGCCTTGTGAATTTCTTGCGATTTTTCAGACTGGCCCAGCCGTTTATTACTGCTTCACCTTCACCATGTTTGATTTTCCCAGCCTTGTCGCAGCATTGGCTCCAGACGCTTCCACTTGCAACCAAGTCATTGCTGCAGTATTCTTTGCAGAAATAGTCGCGCTCTTCACTGGCTCAGCTGTAGGAACATGAGGTGAATCCAGATGTGTACAACCAACTCAAATATTTCAAAGCGAGTGCTGTGCCAGATGCCTCTTTGGCGAATCAAAGTGTGGAAGCCAGATCTAGATCTTTTCGGAGATGTTTGCTGGGACATGACGGATGCCTTCTCAAGAAGCTAGAGCAATGCGAGCCTCTGGCTGCCATGGGTGATGATGTGATGATACCTTGGGTGCCGCTTCCACTTAGAACAGGACTGTGAGTTTTTGCTGTGTGGTGGCAGGTATTGGCATCTTTTCCCATTGCTGGAGCTTCCTTCGTGCATCTGGCTGCGCAGGCGTTTGACTGCAAATAGCTGCACGTTGAGTTTGCACCAGCTGGAGCTTGTCTTCGGAAGGTCCCCTGGCAATCGCTGCCTGGATTGGATGCCGGCTTGGAGCGTGCTGCTCGGGCCGAGTACGAGTTGGGCGTGCAGGCTCGAAACCGTGTGGTCCTACGAGAGTGTTGCACAATGCCACACCTGATCCTAGCACCTAGAAAAAAGAGTGTGAGAAACAGCAAACATGTGAATAGAGAAAGGGGGAGTCAGCTTTCTAAGTGCTCTGTTTTCTCAGGCATGGAACTTGCGCCAGCCAGAACAGGGCTTGGAGCTTTTTCTCAGGACTTTTGTTTGCAACTCTGGAGCAAGCCTGGGAAATGTTGCGCATCCATAGCTCGTGTGCAGGTCTATGCAGGCTTGCAAATAGCTGGGAGACCTCATGTGAAGGATAGGCGCTTGTTAGAGTCATTCTTAAAACCTCAGTTGCTTCTTTTTGTGCCTCGCTGCCCCAATCACAAAGCGACTCCAAACCGGTGACGCTGACACTCTTTAATTCTGAAATCCAACATCCGATCTCTCAACCTTAGACCCCACAGCAAAGCTTACCAGTGCTTGAACTCTCACAGCTGATGCCCTCAGCTCACATGAGCTTACAGCTTCAATGTGCACTTTGAAGCAAGTTCGTTCCACAGGGCTTCGGAAGGGTTTTTTTGTTGGCCAGGACCCCTTCCCCACCCCTCCTGGCCCGCTTGCATGCATGCTAAAAGAACAGCAACCCCCGAATCTTACCAACTATGACACAGCAGAAAAACAACTCACGCAACGCTAATTCCCAACCTGAACCCTGAACCGGAGCCCGAAAACAAAATAAGAGAATGGGGTGAGGGAGGCTCCGGAGGACGCTAAAAACCTCCAAAAGATGAAAGAGAGGCACAAAGAACGTGAGATAACGCAGAATGATGCAAGTGAGTTCGGAAGGAGTGCGCAGAAAGGTCATCAAGTTGGTGAGCGCTGAGCTCAGGTCAGAGCTTCAGGCGGCTTTGAAGCAGTCTTCTGGCTTAAGTTGTTTGTCAAGCTTTGGTTTGACAGGCCCAAATTTGTCAGGTGTCATCTTGGGAGACTTCACTTCATTTGCATCTCGCGCTGCTGGTGTCCGAAGCATGTCCAAGGGGCTAGTCATTGCGGCTAAGAAAGTGTCTCAGAGCGTTTCGGGAACATTGTATCATGGCCTCCATGAACTGCTAACTTGCGCTCAAGCGCTTCTTCCAATAAACTGCCACGGTGACTCAGGTACTGCTTTCGCTACGGAATGTACCCCTGCCTTCGTGAGTCTCTTTTTGCTTTTTGCTTCCATGCCTTGGTTGCCAAAGCGCATTTCTCATCTGCCGCCTGGGCTTTTGAAGGAGCAGACAGCCATGACACAAAATGGTGAGCTGTATGTAGTATTTCACTTGGCGGAACCACAGGCTCAGGTGGACAACCCCAGAAATGACGACACCATGTCGACATGTCGATGGGTGCAGCCTCGCTGCCTTTGGACAGCCACTCAGAGCCAACTTTTCGAGAGCCTCGTTCAACTCTCTTGTCTTGTTGACGAATTTCTGCCCTGCTCCCGTGTTCTTTGTCGTGGAGCCAAATTCAATGGTGTAGATGTGGTGCTTTGTGATGTGTTTCTTGTATGTTTGCTTCCGACAGAGATGCTACTCGGTCATGTTTTGTGACAGTATAAACTGCTCGGCACACCTGACAGCTGCAACTTGTTTGTAGTTCTGCAGATGTTGATTTAGAGTCCGTGCTGCTGGAGCCATCACGGTGCTTTGCCTTCATGGAGCTGATTGCAAACTACATGGACTACAGCTCAGCCAACAGCCTGGCCGCAGTGCTTCGTTGGTGCGACACAGCTGGCTTGTGTATCCTCAAGGAGCTGTCGGACCCAACTCTGCGGCAAAAGCTGGAGGCCATGTGGATGCAGTCGGCAGTGATGCGCGTGGTCCGAGCCAGGATGTATGTCCGTGGGATGGCTTGGGAATCCACGTTTACCAGTGGCGCTGCTGCTGGCACATCTGTGCTTGTAAGTCCCACACTGGTGAGATTGGGCAACACCAGCTACACACTCCAAAACCAGGTCACATTGGCAAGTGGCACCGCCTTGGCAAGCGTTGAAACGGTGATGGTACAGCTGGACGCAAATCTCCAGAAGGCCATTCCCATCCCAGGTGATCAGTTACGATCCATGCTGCGGCCGTCGCCGGAACTTATAGTTCCACTTGCAGGCGAGCAGCCTGCATCTTGCTTTACGTGGAAGGTGGAGGTAAGACCATCGGACTGTGATTTACTCGGTCACATGAACAATGCCAGCTATGCCGTCCTCTTTGAAGATGCACGGCGCGCTGCCAGTCGCGTATTAGGAGCACTGGATGCTGATTCCGATATTAGCATGGCATCAATTGAATACGTTTCGCAAGCACGAGCATTTGAAATTCTGAAGATCGCAGTTTGGTGGAATGCTGAGCGTCGTGTTTACGGTCTCTGTATGTGTAATGACCTGAAGACTGTGGTGGCTCGTGCATCGCTTGTTCCTTTCCAGACCTGCCGCCTTTGACGAAATCCAGCTGGCAGATAACGAACAATTAGCAGTCTGCATGCCCGTGGCGGTGACATTTGGATCTTTTCTGAAAGGGGACATAAAAGCAAATAGGACCGGCATGACTGCATGACTTGCCAACGTGCCGATGCCATGATGCCTGTAGAACATCGTGCGCAAATCGTGTGTGTACGCCTGGCTGCAACAAGGACTCGGCTTCCTGAAGTGCCACGCAAACAGAAACTGCTTTGTCACAAGAAGGACGTGTCACACTGTTGGATTCAGGGCTGACGTGTGTGGCTGGCAAAAACAAATTGCAATGCCGCACTAAGTTACACCACTTGGAACCAAAAACGTCAACATGTCAAGATTTGAGCCGTGCTGCGAACTATGCACTCTCGTTTTGCAACGCAAACCTGGGATAAAAGCAAAAGCCTAGTTTGGCGGCCGGTTTGCGCGCTGTCCAATGTTACTCTGTGTAGGCAAGCTTGCTCACCTTTCAACCTAGAGTGCGTGGCAAAATTCATAGACCTGACTTACCTCAAATTCATAGACCTGACTTACCTCCGCAGTCGAAGGGATGGTGGTCAGGTCCAGTTTGCAGCAAGCAACGGAACAGTAGACATCGGAAGGGCAGACTGATTGTGGACCAAGCTGGTCTGCCAAGACTTTTTGGACCGGGCAAAAAAGCCTCGAAAAAAACTAGCATTTGTTGTAGACAAGGCCGGGTGTAGCTACCGTGAAGAAGAATGCCTCAGCTCCTGCCAATACTCGTAAGGACAATCGAGATAATGAGCAGCACTTGCCATCCAATCATGGCTAGTTCGCTGTAAAGCCTCGAGATCCAATCCAAATCCTGAAGCCTGAGGCCGACAACTGAAACGTCCTGCACTCTACCCTGTGCACTCCCAGCAGCTACGGTAACCGCTGAACTCTGAAACCCCAGCGCTGACATGAACGCCAACGACCTAAGACTGCGAAACCCCAAACCCATCTATGCTCACTTCGAGCTGGCAGCCCTTCTAAGGGCAGATGTAGCCCCGTGAAGACTGGCGGGAGCGCCAGATTATGCAGGTTCGGTTCTGGACTCATGCTGGGATAATGCGCCTAAATTCAGCTTCCCCAAAATTTGCAGGATGAAACCCCGCGCTATATGGCATCGACAAGTTCGTGGGCGCAACGTGCAAGAAGCCCAACAGGCTTGCGGCAGCAGGCCCCCGACTGAGCCATGAAACACCATGCAATATCAGCCGGTGTTTGAAGGTGTTTTGAACCCGGCTGGTGAGGCGGAGAGAAGCAAACGCAGACAATTCTCTTCCTCTTCACGGCTTGATGGTCTCTTGCCAAAGGAAGCGGAGATTCAGGAGCCCCGGCACTCTGTTTGAGCAGCTTGCCATAGCATGCTCTGAACCGCAATGGCAGTGGTTGTCCCCATGGCAGTACCGCTTTCCACTTGGATAGTACCTTAACAAGTTTTCGATATGAATACACGCCTTCATGAACAATTCCTGACTCAATGCATTCACAATGTATGATCGTAGCACGTGAAGGGAAGTGGTTATAGACAAATACAAGCAACAAAAGGCTTTTTAATGCTGCAGTGCCCTACTCTGGTCCGAAGTGAAATCTGTGCGAACTCAAGGGCATCGCTGGCTTGGCTGGACCTATACATACTTTTCTTTAAGTCCATGCAGAAGGGCCAACCGCTTCGTACCCTCGACACAACAAGAAGAGTCATGTCTGAAGCTCCGAACAAAAGAAGCAAGGACGCAAACTCATGATGTGTAGCTTAGTGGCTTCTGATCGCGTTGCTTTCGGAATTAGGATGCCATACCGAGCGTCATTGGATGCGTCTGGGCATCTGCAGTGTTTTAGAGCGGCAGAGCCGCAGAAATCCAGGAGCATGTGGGAAGGCAGTCTTCATTGGAGGCCGGCTTTTTCTCTAAGCAGTGGGTTGCTGCGTGCTCTATGCGCTTTTTCATGATTCAGTGTGGCGGAACAGAGTCGTGCTATGTCGTGCTAAACTGTGATACAAATATGTTTGGGATTAGAGTTGTAAGATGACCCTTTTAGCTGACACCTTGATCAATTGCAATAGGCGAGCCAGTAGTGTGTCCAGGAACTACAAGGCGTTCAGAAGACGTTGGCTGCGCGCTTGATGAAATTGGATGAGGAGACCGCTACAGTTGCAACATAGCAGACATTCTTATTGGTTCTAGTGTGTGTCTGTAGTCTTGGCATAAACTGTTGCCTGCATGTCGTAATTTCATGTGTACAAGGACTTGCAAAACTGGAGCAGCTGATGCGTGTCAATGCCAGGGTTTACGAGAACGAGACTCTCAACTTGCAGAGCTGCGAGCTCGTTACCAGGCGCTCACGCAAATTGTCCTCGCTAAACATTGGTGCATGGGCTCAGTAGGACTCGGTATAGTCATAGTGCTTGCCAAAAGACCCAAAGTCAAAGAATGTTAAGGACTGGCAGAGCTTCGGGTGTCAAGCGTAGTAACTGGATGCAACCGACAGGAGGTGCAGAAGACGAATGAGGAGCTTTGTCGCGTGTTCTTCGAGAACAGCTTTCTGTTTTTCCTGCTGTAGATGCCGTGGGTCCAGGAGTGGCGAAGCCGCGCCTGCAGCGCTGAAGAGGAAACACCAACTAGATGGTCTGCCGTTGGACCTCCCATGTTGCTGCTCGAAAAGCCGTCAGCTTGGGTCATCATAAGCGCATTGAAGACGCTGAAGCCCCAGGAGATGGCAGTTCTTCGGCGCATGTTGGATGAGAGGACCGAAGAGATTCAGAGGCACGCTTTCCCATCAAGCAAACTCTGCTCCATTTTGCTCCCCAGACTTGAGAGTGTATTACGCTTGCGTCATGAATGACAATCTCTTGAGCACCAAACTTGAACCCCAAGCATGCGGATTCACTTGCTTGGTACGTTGTTGCGTCCGTTGCCATTTGGGTTCTAGTTTGGTGCACCTTTGATAGGACACCTAGTGTCCTCAGCTTTCTTTGAGCCATTGCGGGCTCTTCTGCACCTGCTGCACCTCCTGAGGAATCACAGGAGCACTATTTCATCTGGGCCAGAGCTGTCTCTGGCAGCAACACACCGCTGAAGGAAAGCGGTCACATGCGGTCACCAAGCGGCATTTGCCGCATTCTTGCCGATCTTCGGAAAGCCACCGAAGGTCTTCTATGGAACGATTTGTTCCAGCACATCAAGGGGAAGCTCCGCGGCCCTCACCTGGAGCGCTTTTTGCGCGAGGCCCCGCACATACTGCACCAGGACAGCACCTCGTCCTCCTCTACATCTTTCTCGTCCAGCTCCACATCTTCAGCGGACGATACACCCGAGCCTGCGTCTTCATCAGGTCTTCCTCGTGCACCATGACCACCTTGGACAGGAACCTCGATGCGTTCTCGTACCCACCGTGGAATGAGTTGCCGGGCACCGTACGACGCGACGAACAGGGCCCATCTTCGGCCAGGACATCTCACCACACGAGGTCGTCAACCCGCCTATGCACATCCTCGCCGAGTTCGAAGAAGAGGTCCCCATGGGCATGCAGCGCGACTTCACCGATGAGAGCCGTCGAGTGTGCCCCGATGTATGCGGTCGCCAACGGTGTCGACGTCCCAACTGTGACTGTGGCCACCCTGATTTTATAGATCACGCTTGGGTTCCCCTTGACTCACCTTGCCGTAACTACTTTAGGGGACACTGCGTCAAAG